ACTCCTGCTTAGTTTACCAGACCTAGCGGCTTAGCTAATTTTAAGAGATGTGATAGCACAAACAAAACCCATAACTTTTTATATCTTACGGTTGCCACACAGAGAAGAGCTAACAGTCTCTGTTAACAGCCCACCTCTATCTAACTTCAGCACAGGAAACTCATCCCCATAATGTTCCTCAAATGTTCCAGCTGCATTATCACACTTTGACAGCATCAGACTAAATATTGTCAAAATGTTGTGGGTTCATCCGACACAGGGCAGTAAATCCACACTGACTGAGCCTGAGGGATAAAAAAGGGGTGGGGTGGGGGATGAGGGGGATAGAGTGAGCTTCAAAATGTCTGTTCCATACACACACACACACACACACACACACACACACACACACGCACGCACGCACGCTCTCACTCCCAATAACCTTCTTCGACCTCAGCCCTCCAGATATACATGATACTTAACCGTTCTCCTTACACGGGCCTGGAGAAAAAAATAACAAAAGAGGTGAAAGAAAGAAAAAATATAAAGGCACTCCAAGGCCTTGACGAAAACATATGGCATGGTGAATTATCATGGTGATTCCTCTTTTCTGCAAGTACTTTTCATGCTTTTACGGACGAAGTGGGGAGCCACTTTCCATAATTTATCATTTACAAGCATTTTATTGCCTCTGCCTACAATTCATTGTAATGTAGTGTTCTGTTTTTTTTATCATTTCAATCTTTTCACTTTTATCTTTTCACTTCCTGATTCATTGGAAAAAGGGCCGGTGGCATGAACCACGTATGACAACACAGAGTTGGGCTGCATGTAATTTTAACAGAGAAATCTATCTTCCTGCAGTTGTATCTTATAATGTTCTGTCCAACCTGAGGGCTTCAGTTTCCCCGTCTTCTTTTATGCTCCATCTTTACCTCTTTCTCACCCTCTGCCCATTGCATGTCTATTGATGATGATGGCATATGAAACCATGATGTGTACTCTGAATTCAATGTTAATGATGCCACCGATTACACTAATGATGTCAGTGTAATGGGAATGGACCACAGAGGACAATGATGACCCTGATAGTGTAGGAACTGGTGACAGCTTTGACAATAGCACCTATAAGTAAGTCTGTGGTAATGTTCTAGTGAGGATTTACCACCATCCTGATACATCTAATGTGGTTAACTCTAGCATGGCTCTGAGCCATAATGAACATTTCCATTGTGAGTCACGTTTCCTTGATTGGGAAAGTGCAAGGACAAAAGATATTTCAGTTATAAAAAATAATCTGAATGCTGCTCTGAAGTACATTTGATTGTTAAGACAACATAAAAGGACAGAAGACAAATTTTATTTTTTTTTAGTGTGTTGGGTTTCACACATGTTCCTTCATTATCACAAGTAACACAAATAGTCAAATAGTGTACATTATGTCCAGGGTTCTCAAGAATTTTGTAAAGAGGAGCCCCTTTAACTGTAAAATAAATTCAATGGACTTCAATGGGCTTCAGTGCAGATGTATTTCATAAACTTTATTTACACATGTACAGTAATATTTTGTCTATTTATTCGAACTGTAGAGCTTTTTATTCCTGAACTATTCACTGACAGAATACATTGCATCTGAGTTATATTATTTATAATTCGACTAGTTGTTTGAGTTACTGAGGGTTAGATTAAAACCATTCAATTCAAGGGCCCTGTCATATAAACTAACAACAATAAAGTAGTGATGGAAATATAATAACATTTATAGTGGTGGGTTGTGATTTCCACAGCTGTAACTAAATTTAAAAAAATCATCAACCACTACATTAAGATGTAAATAGTGAACCCCTTCCATGTCATACATTCGTCCTGACATTTCTCTTATAAGATACACTTCTTAAAACAGGTCTAGAAACCAGAAGGGTCATGAAAAAAAAATGTTTCTGTTGATTTTACATTAAGTTTTGCCTTTGTGCCTTGTTACATCATGTTATGCTCATGTGTAATTGCCAATTTGAAACATTTTAGTACATAAACTGTCCATTCAAAAGATATAGGGTTTACAAACTTTTGCACTCAAGTTTTTACACAGATATACTGAAAGGGAAAGCCAAGTTATTTTTTTCAGTGGCATTAATAATTAATAATAAGATTTACATAGTGAAATAATATATACTTTGGCCAAAGAAGAAATTGAAGGGAAATTAGAAATCTGCCAAAATTATTTTTTAAATAGACCTTCACCTTACCTGACACACACACACACACACACACACACACACAAGTCCACGCCTCTACTCAACCTTCCACTCACCTCAATGCATTTGCCACTAATATAAAGCATGCATCACATGTCAGCTGAATGGCCCTAATAAAAAGACAGACCTAATCAGATCCATCAGCCATGCATTCCACTCTCACTCTTATTCCCTATCGTGCCCTGATTAATGTTAATTTCATCATGTGTCTTTTTCAGCTCAATAAACCCACCTCCCACTCTAAATCAAATTGTTACCGATCGTGGCCTGCCACTAAGTTACTCCTCCCCTCTCCATTCACATACACACTCCTCCCCTCTCACTTCACATATAGTGTCATAATGCAGTTTGTCATAATTAAGTCCAGCAGCTAATTAATTAAGTGGCTAGAATAGTAATTAGTGAGCTTTTGTTGGGGATTGTGGGGTAAGGGGACTTGCTAGAAGGGTGTAGCAAGGATGAAGAATATTTCTATGGAAACACTGCATAAAAGACAGCAGTGAAAAATTTTTTGTGGTTGCATGCAGGATGGCTTTTTTACTACACACACACACACACACACACACACACACACACACACCACCCACCGCATCAGAGTGATGGGCTTGAGAGTGCAGCATTTATTGACTGATCTACGAGCACTAATGGAAATGATGTAGAGAGGGAGAGACAGTTCATTAGAATTGCAGCTTGATTAAAGTGTGTGTCTGAGCACCGGTATTTTTTTTTTTATCTCTGTATTTGATTAATTTCAATTAAGCTAGACATTGTCCTGTATAAAGCCATGCTGTTATAAACACATTATAGTACAGTTTAATTTGCCTTATAATATGGGCCATTTCTTACCTGAACATGTAAGTTTTGGATTTAAAGACTTCCAATCCTGGAGAGCCAGAGCATGCTGCAGAGTGTAGATTTTCCTTCTTCTAACACAAGGCTAGTCTTTAAAAATGGCAAATAAGTTGACTCATATGTGCTAGAGTAGGAGACCATTAATGCTGCATTTGACTTTCTTTGGAAGTGGGACATCAAAGCTCAGAGTGATGTCATTTTCATCCTCTGTGCATTCAAGCGAGAAAGTGGGAAAAAACTTAGACACATCCATGTTCATCTTTTGTTAGCAACAAGCTAGCCAGCAAACTGTGATGAGTGGTGTATACTTACCCTTTCAAATAGTGATTTCTATGGTCAGTGTTGTAGATTTATCAAGCTAATATGTCTGTATGGTGACTGATCTAAAGCTATTACTTCGATATACAGCATAACTCACTTCAAGGTAAGAAGTTCTACTCTGTTTACTGCTGACGCTGTGTGCAGCCATGTTGATTTGATGTTATTTGCTGGAGACCATCCTGAGTTCCCAAGTAAAAATTCAGAGTTGAGGGGTGTTTTTTTTTTCCTGGTCAGAGGTCATGAATTATGAGTTAAGACCTCCAGTCAAATGCAGCATCAGTCCTAAATTCCCAGGTCTAAAGGTCTACTCACCTCAATAACAATATATAGGATAACACTTGTTTCTGTAACATGCAGTTATTGAAGGCACAATGCAAGTGCGTAAACTCAGCATATTCTTTATTAGCAAGGCAAGCTTCATTATCAAAGTTCCAAGCAGGGGTCAGAGCACAAGCACACAGGAACAAACTAGGATAATCCATAATCATAAACTGTAACACAGGCATGGGACAGAAACAAGAAAACACAAGGCTCAGAAATGCAAAAATACAATCGACAAGACTTTGCAATGAAACACAGAAACAGCAGAGTATAAATAGACTAAATAATCAAGGGTGAGACACAGAACAGGCGAACACATTAGGGTAATACACTAAAGACAGGACAGACAGAGACAGAAGAAACAAAGCATAAGCACATGGAGTGAACTCAAAACAAGTGACATGAGCAGCGCCCATCACATTGGAAACTTTCTTACTTTAGTATTAGTTGTTTGTATTACTTATTGTTTTTTGTTTATTGATATTGTTTATATATAGCAGTTTGCACATTTTGTCTAAGGATAAGAGCATCTGCCAAATGACTAAATATAAATGTGAAAAGAAGAAAAAGTCTTCCTCAATTTACACACTGATTTCTGTTACTAATGCTAAATTAAATCCTATTAATTCTGACCATACCTGGCTGAAGGCTAATAGCTAGCTGTCACAATACAAACTAGTTTCAATAAATACAAGGTGTTCATAGATAGATTACAGTGATATATCTTAATGTTTAGATTTGTTGGAAAATTAGATCAACTCCTTGAAGCTATCTGATGCTAAAAGGTCACCATATGACTTTACAGATATATTATTGTAAAGAATTGTAGTGATATAGTGTTTGAAAATATTTCTATCTCCCATAACTCCCTGCCAAATACCACGCCCCCTCTCAGCCAACCCACAGCTTACTTATCACCTCTTCAGCTTAAATACTTCTCATTGTTTTTTTTCTTGTTTTCTCCATTCAGGCTACATTTCTAAGCCTAAACCTTTTGCCAGTATCACTCTCCTGTGTATGATATTTGATTCTCTCTCTCTCTCTCTCTCTCTCTCTCTCTCTCTCTCTCTCTCTCTCTCTCTCTCTCTCTCTCACACACACACAATTCTTTTGGTTTTCTCTGCCACCCTTGTTTTGAAGTCTCTTTCTATGCCAAAGAAACAAAATCAGCATAGGTTATATTTAAATGTCTCTAGCGAGATTTACATTGATTCATATGGCTGATGCTTTTATCCAAAGCAAATTGCAAGGGAGACAGGATCTGGCAGTGATAGCTTGGTGTTGGGATTGGAACTCACAACCTTCAGATCAGTAGTCTAATACCATAACCACTGAGCCATCATCGCACCAGGTTTAGCTATGTGATATATACTGACGCCTGCACTGCTATATCTCCTCATGATTAGCATAGGAAAATCCACAATCCAATATAACACACTCATATTAGGAAATAGTCATATTCTAAATACCTCTATTCTTCCTGTCTGACTTATACTTCTATTTTTCATCCATTCATTTTCTCCCCACTCTCCCAGTCCATGTTCTTCATGGCTTTAGGGATGCTGGAAAGTGCTCGACCACAAGGTCAAGTTAGCGGACAGAATGGAAACTGCTTGGCACAGCAAGCCAATGACTCCAAAAAGTTTCCTAAGTTTCTCTTCTTTGCCTTGCCATCACACTATGTTGCCATTCTCTTTCTCTCTCTCCATCCCTCACTCCCTTCCTCACCCATGCTTTTTCCTCCCTTGAAATTTCTTTGAGAAGATTATCCTCAGGTAAGCTTGTTAGCGTGCCGATCCTGCGTCAGCAGCTCTTCCTTCCACACTGACCACTGTGTGTGTGTGTGTGTGTGTGTGTGTGTGTGTGTGTGTGTGTGTGTGCGTGTGTGTGTGGGGGGGAGTGTTGCACGCAGGTCAGTCAGGATTTGGTGGAAGACTGTGAATGTGTGTGTGGTAGGGGGGCAGTGAGGCATTCCACATTAACATGGTGTGACAACATCATAAGACAGCGTAAATGACTAGGAGAGATGATGGTTTGGGTGAGGAATTGAGAAATAGAGAGATAGAGAAATAGCAGGATAGGGGAATGGAGGAATAGAGGGATCAAGGATGAAGGGATATAGAGTTATATGTGGATGGAGGGATAGAATAGAGGTATATGGGGATGGAGGAAAGAAGACATTAACGAACAGAGGTATATAGGGATCGAGAGAAGAAGTGTGTGTGTGTGTGTGTGTGTGTGTGTCTTAGACTTATGGAAAGCTTCGCATTCTGGTGCTCATGCCCAGATTTGGGATTGGAGCTACTCTTGGGAAAAGAAGAGAGAGATAAATGGAAAGAGACGGGATCTATTCCTCCTGTGACAGAGGGGAAATCTGCACAAATCTCTCCTTGTTAGAAGGAGAGGTAGAGAAAGAAAGCAAGGGATCAGTGCACCACTTTCTCAAACTGTCTAAGGAGGACAAATGGCTTTCTTCCCCTGAGCCTCACTATAGCTGGATACAAGAGAGACCTCTCTGTCTCTGTCTCTCGCACACACTCTCTTTCTGAACCATGTCTGTGATGTCTCGGTCTTTACAAGACACAAGCAAAAAAAAGACAAAAAAAAATATATAGAATTACAAGTAGACAAGCTATATAAAACAAATTTCTATTTCTCATGTCCAACATATATATTTTAATTTAATTTAATATACTGAACTGGGGTTCTCAAACAACCTGGAAAAAAAATGTACATATATATATGTGTGTGTGTGTGTGTGTGTGTGTGTGTGTTTATATATATATATATATATACATATACACAGTCAGGTCCAGAAGTATTTGGACAATGACAGAGTTTTTGTGATTTTGCCTTTATACACCACCACAATGGATTTGAAATAAAACAATCAAGATGTGATCGAAGTGTAGACTTTCAGCTTTATTTTAAGAGGTTCCACAAAAATATGGCATTTATCATTTAGGAATTACAGCCATTTTCAACAAAGTACCTCCATTTTCAGGGGCTCAAAGGTATTTGGACAATTGACTGACAAGAAGTTAATTGACCAGGTGCTGTCCATTCCCTTGTTACTTCAAGACAAATTAAGCAAATAAAAGGTCTGGAGTTGATATCAGGTATTGAGTTGGCATTTGGCAGCTGTTCGACTGGAGCTACCAATATGAAGTCCAAGGAGATCTCAATGCAAGTGAAGGAGGCCATCATTAGGCTGAAAAAAGAACATAAATCTATAAGAGAGATAGCAAAAACCTTAGGTGTGGCCAAATCAACAGTTGAGTACATTCTTAAAAAGAAGGAAAGCACTGGTGAGCTCAACAACATCGAAAGGCCTGGACGACCACGGAAGACAACTAAAGTGGATGATCGCAGAATCCTTTCCTTGGTGAAGAAAAACCCCTTCACAACATCAACAGAAGTCAAGAATACTCTGGAGAAGGTAGGCGTATCATTGTCAAAATCTGTAATCAAGAGACGCCTTCATGAATGTAAATACAGAGGGTTTACAACAAGGTGCAAACCATGGGTAACATTCAAGAACAGGAAAGCCAGATTAGACTTTGCCAGAAAACATCTAAAAAAGCCTCCCATGTTCTGGAATAAGATTCTTTGGACCGATGAAACCAAGATTAACCAAGAAGAGAAAAGTATGGAGAAATAAAGGAACAGCTCATGATCCAAAGTATACCACATCATGTGTCAAACATGGTGGAGGCAGTGTTATGGCATGGGCATGTATGGCTGCCAATGGAATGGGCTCACTGGTGTTTATTGATGATGTGACTGCTGTCAGAAGTAGCAAGATGAATTCTGAGGTGTATAGGGCTATACTCTCTGCTCACATTCAGCCAAATGCTACAAAACTGATAGGACGCTGCTTCACAGTGCAGGTGGATAATGACCCTAAACATACTGCAAACGCAACTCAAGACTTTTTGAAGGCAAAGAAATGGAATATTCTTCAATGGCCAAGTCAGTCGCCTGATCTCAACCCAATAGAGCATGCTTTTCACTTACTGAAGACAAGACTGAAGGCAGAAAGACCCACAAACAAGCAGCAACTGAAGGTGGCTGCAGTGAAGGCCTGGCAAAGCATCTCCAGGGAGGAAACTCAGTGGA